TCTAGGTTATACATATCTCAATGGACAGGAGCACATCTAGTATAATATAATTGCTACAGCTTTTAAATATATGACTAGATTTAGGTACAGAAAATAATTAAATTAAAATGAAAAAATTAGTAATACATGAAGTCTGAATTCAGAATAGCAAGGTAGTTGGGGGAGAAGGCATATAGAGGAACATGCTTGATCAGGGTGAAAAGAATTATAGAGGAACATGCAAGATCAAGGAGAGAAGAAATGTACAAGAACATGAATGACCAGGGAGAGAATTATTATAGAGGAACATGCGTGATCAGGGTGAGAAGGAGAATACAGGAACATGCATGATCAAGTCTTGCAAGAATGAGTCTAGAGGGAGCCCAGAACTGCCCTGTGCCTATTAAACTTCAAGATTATTGTTCAGGATCTCTGCCTGCTCCCTATCTAGAAACTCTTTTTAGAGTATAACATAGCTTCCTAAAGTATACCTACAAATATTGTGTTAGGTAATGGAGGGGAGTTGTTTATGAGATCTAAGAACGCTAATCTCAAATGTGTCAAGTTTTGGATCCTAATTCAAACAGAACAACTGCAAAATGGTCACTAAGCGTTTGCATGTTTACTGGGTTAAGGAGTTCTACTGTTGATTCCTGAATAAGAATCGTAGTTTTTAATGTGTTTTCTAATGTTTTATACGGGGCTCACAGTGTGTTTTTTAAAAAGGAGGAACATGAAGAATGCTTCAGGAAGGTGAACAATTGTAAAATGTTTATCAAGGACTTTGACACCTAACTGACTAATACAGTGTTTCCCGGCTGCCGCCAGAGATGCTCAGTAGGGTCTACCCGTGATGCCTGCCACCTTGTGAGTTTTGTTTCTTTTCTTTCTTGTGCCATTTCTTTCCAACAAGATAGATACTCACTTTCAGAGGAAGAATGAGGCTCAAAGACAGCCAGTGCTTTCCAGCTCCTACAGAAAGGAATCCAGAGGACAGCTGTGGTCTCTGGTCTTTCCATGTCCCATTCCAGGGCTAACGCAGAGGCAGAGAGACTGCAAAGCCACCCCTCCTGCCCTGCATCTGCCTTCCCCTTTTTGCTGCTAGTGTGTCTCCCCAGCCACTTTCTGGAACAGTCAGGTGTTTGCTGTCTTTATCCTTGGGCAACTAGACTCTGTCTTTAAAATGTGGTCCAGATCCCACGTTATCTGAGAACTGATTGAAACTTTAAAGGAAAAAGAGAGACAGGAACCCATTGTTGGCTGGCCTCCATTCACATCCTGCTTCCTGTTGCTAATGATTGATCCTGCCTGAATTAAAGTTTCACTCCTTTTCTCTGTGGTCAGCAAGATAAGCCATTAACACTGGCCCAAGAAACAAACTTTATTTTATTATCATCCATCCGCTATACTCTGAGTTCTTACTAGAAAAGGAGAAAGAGATTAGACAACCTTCCAAGGACCCTTCCCGACTAAGCTTCTGGGCCCTGAGAGCCCACACGTGATACAGCATAACCCAGACTAAATGAGGAAAAGGGGGAAGTGTCCTGTTAACAGAGGGAAGAGAAGCCACTGAAGGAGGTGTGACAGTGGCTCCAGGAGAAGCATCCCAAGTTGTGAAGTTTCTTAATGGCCAAGAGCCAAAGGCTTGCCATCTTGCAGACAAACCATCCCCTGCTTACCAAGTGGTTTCTGCCTCTAGTATAGAAACACTGGGTTTCTTTTCACCTTGCCTTTTCCACCCCCTCCCCTCACCCCTACAGGAAACCCTCATTACCTCAGTATTTAGAAGCATGGTCTTTTCTCCCATTGTGACCTAACATGTCACTACTAATGTCTGTTCTTCCCCATCCCCGTGGAAAGCAGAGAAAAGCGCCAGGTTGACTATGAGCAGACCTGTCTCCAGCAACTCTTGATTACTGAAGAACCTTTTCAGGAAAATATTTATCAAGAGCCTACTATGTACCAAATGCTGACTGTCTGTTTTGAATTCTTCTAGGCAAAGAAAGAAAAAGAATCTTGTTCCAAGCAAATATCTTCAGTTCTCAGAGTCAAGAAGTTTGGGTGAGCCCAGGCATTTTTAATCTGTTCTGATACTATAACAAAAACCTGAGGCTTCCAGGTCTGCAGCAACTTCAGGTTTTGGAGCATGGTCCTTGTATCAACTTGGACCTAGTAAGGACCTGATTACAGATGGGATAATATTCTAAGAGGAAGAACCCACGCAGTGAGTGGAGGGCTCCCATAAGAAACACCCGCTAAGCCCTACTATGGTTGTATCTTAAATGTCTCCACAAAGATCCAACGATCCAAAGCTTGGTCTATAGGAGGTGCTGATGGGAAGTGGTAGACTCTCTAAGAGGCAGGACCTAGAGAGTCAGTGGTGGTGTGTCCTCTCAGTGGGGTGGGAGACCACTTTTCCAGCTTTTCTTTGTTATATGAGAACGAGGTGAGCCGTTTTGCTCTGCCGTGCACTCTGTTTTGCAACTCCAAAAACAGCAGAGCCAGCTGATTATGGATTGGAACCTCCAAAAGCAGGAGCCAAAGGAAACCCTTTCTCTTTGTAAGCTGATCTTCTCAGGTCATTTGTTATAGTGATAGAAAACTACCCCCCACCACCAAAGCTCGTAAATATCATACGACACTATTAGACAGTCTCCGACATACTCCGCAGGGGACAAACCAAATCCAAATTACAGAATGGTGGGTGAAGTGTGCTACCTAGGAGGCTGTGCCAAAGAAGAGTGAAAACTTGGGGGTTTCCTTCCTTCCTTGCCTGAGACTTGGTACAGATTGCATTAACATTGGCCCAACCTTCGGTTACATTTACGTCTGCAAAGGCATCTGTCACCTTGGCCTTGAAGGCTTTCCTCAGATCCCTTCCTCCTACTTATATCTGCCTGGCTCTTCTGCCCTGTAAGATTAGTTGAAGCATCATTTTCTTAACTCCCTATGAAGTCCTCTCCAATGATCGAAAACTCTGAGGCCCACCCGGGTCCCCACTTTCCACTTCTAGTACTTGGTAGTTTATTCCTCTCCACTGGACTATAGCATTCAGTAATATGCATCCTCATTTGCCTTCCTACATGGATGGGGACGCTGTCCTGTATGCAGGGTATGGCTTGTCATCATCTGAGGAGTGTATACAGGCTTGAAATACCTGAAATTGCTTCATTAGGAAGAATCCACAGTTTCTCGGCAACCTCCTCCAACATTATTAGCTTACTGCATTCTTAGCATTACGAATTCTGCAAAATGCTCAATTATGTCACTAGCCTATCCACCACAGTGGGCTTCAAACGTATACATTTTCAGTAAGACGAACACTAACTCCCAGCTGGAAATAAAGGGGATAAATAATAAATGAGAATATAAATAAATTCTAAAGTTGATAATGAATCTAACACATGACAGTAATAGAAATAACTACAAAAAATCCCATCACTGTATCTCTGGAAACATTGTGCGTTGCATAAAAACAGAGGGCAAGATGAGTAGCAATGTCAAGCTGCCCGAACTCCTGCAGGCTGTCACAGTAGTGGCATCAACTGTTCACCGCTGTGATGAAGGAAGATAGCTCAACTGCAGATACCAAGCGGGCTAAAGGCTTCCATCCATACTGTGCAGTCAATGTGCGACTCTCACAGCTAAAGAGAAAAGCAAGACGCATCACCTGCTCTTCAGAGAAGTTGGGCTGCTTCGCAGCTCTTGGCATGCTGCCTATTTCTGGAGCTTTCTACAGAGGAGGTGGAGGTGAGAGGGAGCAAAGCAATCAATAGTTCTGAGCCCCGGAACCCACCCCGCACCCTCCACCCCTCCCAATCCACGCCCCCACCCCTGCCCAATGAATAACGGGCTACTGAGTTACCAGCCAGCTCCTACACACTCCACTGCTACTGGCTTCTCCTATGTTCACCAGTTTAAAACCAGTGTGCTTCTGACTCCGGGGAATACGCTGTAATGCCTTAGCTTATTTTCAATCACTTCATATTTATTGCTGTGATGGAAAGCACCAAGGAAAATGTGAAGTTCTAAAACGGCAAACGTTCTTGATAGCCCACTAAACAATGTGGCCGTCTCGGACACACATCGCCACTGCCCTTAGGAACAGAAGCTGTATGGGAGTCATTTTCACTTCCTTTAATGACTGAGGATCAACATACATCTAACCAGACCCATTTCCAGAAAAAAGAGCAGAACCTGGCTACTCACCCAGATCACAGGGTTACGATGTCATTTTTAGTAAGATGTTTATTTTGGATTCTTTGCAGACTAGATAGTACAGTCCAGGACAACTATGTGTCCGAGAACTCTAGATAATAAGCAAACCTTGCATCCCAGGAGCTTGTCTTTTGCCAGCAATCCAACTGCTTCTATCTAATGAGGTTAAGGTTCTGGGGAAAATGAGAAGCTCCCTCTGTCCCACTGCAAACCCGGCAGAGGCTGCAGTTCCGATCTCTAGCCGTGAATAAAGGTCATTCCTCCCACAGTTCTACTGTGTCAGACTTTCTTCTGAGCACTGCACACATGAGGGCTTACTGGGTTCCCCACACCAGCCTGTGAAGTAGACAGGTAGGCTGCCTCCCTCTGCAGACATACAAAGCCAGGGGTTAAGGAACCGGCTCAAAGCTACACAAGTCATAAGTAGGGGAGCCAGAATTCAAACCCAGATAATTTTATGCTTTGATGTTGGAAGCTACCTTTTAAACACACACAGAGAGAGAGAGAGAGAGAGAGAGAGAACACACATACACACACACACACACACACACACCTACAGAGTAGGCATCTGGAAGGAAATGACACTGTGTACTAACTAATGGCACATGAATTCTCTCCTGTTGGATCTCCAGCGCAGATTTTTTTCCAAATCTCTGTACTACTACAGATGGGTGGATGCCAAGTCTATCACCAACCAGCTGTTTCATCCCTGTGACCTCATCCCACGGTGCCTCCTGGCATCCCCCCTTGAGTAAAGGCGCACCACATCTTTATCTCCTACACAGAAGGAGTTCGGGTCTCACCTTTCCAGGCACGAGTGCGGCAACGCTGCCAGTCCCTTACACATCTTGGCAAGCGGTTTAGCTCCTCAGTCTGGAACGCGAACTTCTCAACAGCCGAACAGGTCTCTGGAAACTTCAACACTGTCTGGGGCAGCCTTTCCCTCTGAGGAATATATACGGGCTCTCTCACAGCTCCGTGGCTCTGAGGACCAATCCGGAGCTCTGGAGAAAAATTGTGGGCTGGAGCACAGATGCAAGTTGCCTGAGGTGGGGGCTGGGAGGCCTCCCTGGCTGCAGGCACTGCTGGGGCGGGCTTCTGGCTGCTTCTGTTACTACAGCCTGTTGTTTGTTTAGTCAGGGCTAAATTGGACCCTAACTTGTGATAAGACCATTAGCGCACGAAGTCTGCAATCTCAGGCCAGCCACAACGGTGATGTGGAACCACTTCCCAGCTGTCACGGGTCTGGGGGATACATCACTAAACCCACCTTTCTCTCACAAAGGAAGAAACGGTGCTCCTTTTCATGGTGGAGAGAATGTGTACCTGAGGATCCCATGTGCTGGGCACTTGGATGGATGTTAGGAATTCGGAGTTAAAAGGACTAGCCCAGACTCTAACAGCAAGGATGTTGGTGCAGGTGTGAGCTACAGAGGCAGGCCAGATTCAGGGGTTATGGAGCCAAACTAATAGTGAAAAGCAGAGAAGGGAGATTTGTTCACTGTGGCCCTGGAAAGACTGGCAATGAGATGATTCTCTTTGTCATCTGCCTGGCATGAGGGTAGGGTTTAAACACAGAGCAGGGGATTCGCATAACTAGTCAAGCAGGGTTATTTCCTGCCCACCTGTGTACAGCTCTGTTCTCTCTCTCTCTCTCTCTCTCTCTCTCTCTCTCTCTCTCTCTCTCTCTCTCTCTCTCTCGTCAGTCTGCTCTGAGGTTAAGGTCATTGCACAAGCTGCAAATCTTTCTCCAGGAGACAAATTCCTGGTCCGGGTGTTCCCAGGGCTTCAGCCATTTCCTCTCCCAGCAGGAGAATGCCAGAGGGGGGTCTAATTGCTTAGAGTCCTTTGTTTCAACAGTCTGACCACCAACAAGCCTCTCCTTGAAATGTCTGTTTCTGGGAGGTAGATGGATTACATTCCCCACTCTTTGCCTTAACTCCTCAGTCTTGAGGTGAAATATGCCTGTGATTGAAAACAAAATCCTGTAGAGACTAACAAGCAGGACTCAAGGTTTTCCCAGATATCTTTTCAAGTCTAAAAGTCTTGAAGACTCTAAGAGGTCAGCATTATACCACACATGTAGGGAAGCCTTTCTCCGGAGGGTGGCCAGGCCCTCTGAAGAGCCAGCGTTACCCATTTTAAGCAGGTTCCAGTTGCTTTCTGGAGTCAGTTGTTATTGGAACTAAACAAAAACCGTAAGAAGTCCCAGTACAGCATAAAAAGATTCCTTTATTTGTATCAGTTGTTGCTAAACAATCACAACTTTGTGGATAGGTGTATTGTGGATAGGAGGAGTTTCCTTACTAGCTACACATGAGTCACAAACTCAATGACTTGGTCTTCTTTCTCATCCAGGGTACTGCCATGCATTTATGGGTTTGCCTGGAATTTACCCATGGTCACCAGGCACAAGTTATTGAGCCTAGTCCAAGGTAAAGAAGAAGTTAGGTCACTGCACTCCAGCCTTCCGTGACCATTGCTCAGGCTGTCTCTGGCTGCAGCTGCTGTCGTTGTCCTTCCTTTAGGCGTACACAGATGTGAGGAAGCCCTGTGTTAAGCAACAGCACATTGTGCTCTTTTTCCATGTAATAAACTTACATGCCTTTAGCACTGTTACATTTTTTCCACATGTAAAGTTCAAATTACACAGCTCTACATATTTCTAGTTACAGATGCATAGGGAATTCAATGTATTGAAATAGTTGCTTACACTATGGTCATTTAAAAGACTTTAAAACAGATAATTAAATAAGTCTTGACTTTGTTAAGACAATTTCTTGAAAAGATAAAAGCTGAAATGTAAACATAAAAATTATTTTAATGAAACATAAATATCTTGTCTTTCAAGTGAATCACAAAATGTTATTAATGTTAGAAACAAAGAATAATGTGGGTATCATGCTAAGGAATGCACACACACAAAAAAAACAAACAAACAACAACAAAAAAAAAAACAAAGAGGAAGTAGCTTGGCAAGAAAATTATTTTTGTAAAAGGGGTGCATCAAGCCCCAAACTAGGCAACCTCATCCAAGGTGGCATCCATTCTTATCCCTGATATGGGCAGTAACTGTGTCTCATCCCATGTGTTGGAGTTCAGATTTACAATCTGACATAACAAGCTAATGTGTGCAAGGGGGAAGGAGAAGGTTCAGTATATATGAATCTTGATGAACTAATTGCCTTTGATAGAAACAAGCTTTTCTCACAAGAGCAGAGAATATTTAAAAAACATAGGTATATCTTATTTAGTAAGGAGGGTATACTAATTTTTCTCTTGAATTCTTAGCCTTATTTTTAAAATTCTCCAAATATTCTAGTTAAGATTGCTATTGGTATAATGAAACACAATCCACATCACTGTTCATCATAGAAGGAAGTCAGAACAGCACAAGGTCCTGATGCAGAGGCCATGGAGGGGTGCTGCTGACTGGCTTGCTCTTCCTTCCTTACTCAGCATACTTCTTAGACAACCCAGAACCACCAACCCAGGGGTAGCCCCACCCACAGTGGGCTGGGCCCTCCCCATCAATCACTAATTAAGAAAATACTCTGCAAACTTGCCTACAGCCCCAGCCCAATTTGTTTGTTTTGTTTTGCTTTGCTTTACGAGATAGGGTTTCTCTGTGTAACTTTGGAGCTTGTCCTGGAACTCACTCTGTAGACCAGGTTGGCCTTGAGTTCACAGAGATCTGCCTGCCTCTGCTTCCTAAGTGCTGGGATTAAAGGTGTGCACCACCGTCCTGCCAAACCCAGCCCAATCTTATGGAAGCACTTTCTTAACTAAGGGCATCCTCCTCCTTATGACTCTGGCTTGTATTAAGTTGACATAAAACTAGCCAGCACAACAAAAACAAAACATCAGAAAGATTTAACAGCATCAACTATTAACATTTCAGTTTCGGCATGTCAGAAGATCGCAGGTGGTCATTTACAGAAGTGGATTGCCTTGCATTTGTTCCAGCCTTGCAGCAGACGACAGCTGTGCCAAGCACACAGATTGTTTTACAAACAACCACCATATCCACCCAATACACAGTGTAAGAGTCAAGCAACTGCCAAGTCATGGTTCTCAACATCCTTATGACCTCCACCATAATGAAATAATCCATGGGTGAATAGGAAAAAATTAATTTAATTACATTTTTAAATTTTGAGATAGGGAAATGAAGGACATGAGAGGAAAAGAAGCCTTTCATCCCAGAGTCCGAAAGCTCCTTGCCACTGAGAAGCAAGGGTTTCAGCACAATTAATATTTACTGTAAAGACTTCCCACAAAATGTTAAAGTTCTTGTCGCAAACATATTTTTTCATCATTTATATTATTTTGTATGGTGTGTTTAGATTATATTCCCTCCATCCCAAAACTGCTCCAAAACCCACTCTCACTCTCTACACACCCAACTTTGTGTTCTCTTTTATTTTCAACAAACCACGTTCAATTGGCACTGCCCATGGAAGCTTGGCTGTGTGGCCTTTCTGCTGGAGTGTGGCTAAAGCAGCCTTAAAGAAAGCTGGAGCTCTCTTTCCCCATAGCTAAAATTGTCTATAGTTCCTAAATGAGAGGTAGGACTTTATGCCTACCTGCTTGCTCCTCACTAGGATTTTGTCTGGTTTGCGCAATTCTTTGGACCACTTTCCTAACTGCTGTAATTCCATTTGTACAGCTGCCCTGCTATGTACTCCACAGTTTCTTACGGTCATCCACTGCCTCTGGCTCTAGCACTCTTTTGTCCCCCTTTCTGCAGTGATCCCTAAACCTTGTAAGAATGGGTGTGATATAGATGCTTTATGCTAAAACAACAGTGACTCGGGCTGAGAAGCTGAACACATACGCTCTTGAGCAAGACCGCATGCCTTTTCTCTGACATTTTCCCAAAATCTCAAACAAGAGTAAGTCTAGGTTAAAAATATCTTTCCAACTCTACTTGAAATTCATTTCAGCATCAAAACCAGGAATCTTGGCTAGACCTGAGGTAAGGTCCCTACAGCTCTAAAGCAACACTTTGGCTGCAGAAGGCAGGAGTGAGGAAGTGTGCCTTTTCTGCCTATCCTTCAGAACAGTGGTAGGATTATGTCCAGTCTATAATCCACAAGTATTAGGACTTTGTTGAAGACTAAAATCTCAAAGCAGAACAGTCAGCAGCAGACTGAAGAATGTGTTCCCCAGAAAACACAGCAATAGCATCACATGGACAAAGACCGAAAACAGAAAGGGAGGACCAGCTCCTTGGGTCACAAAGAGAGGATCTGAGTTTCATACAAAGCTGGAGGGAAAAAGCAAGCTCCCAAATGGGTTTTTGATGCTGAAATTCTATCAAGAGATGCCTGTACCCATAAACGCACATTTGTAGTCATCGTATTTTAGAAAAATACCTGAACAAAATATCTAATACCATTTCCATCATGTTATATCTGCCAGAGTAATATAGCGTATCATATATATATATATATATCCTAAGTATTCTATCTATAAATGTGAATGTCAAATATAAAGAAAAATAAATAAATAAATAAAGTAGAAACACTAACACTGTTCCTTTGTGAACAGTATTTCTTTTCTTACTTATTTTGCAATGTACACTTACACCCAACAGTTACGCTGGCAGAGAGAGAGTCAACACTTGACTCGGAGGTGAGTGAGGATGGACCCACTCCATCATAGGCACCTGTGGACTCTCCTCATGCTATTTCAGCAGTTAACACACACCCAAAGTGAAGTGCTGGGGTTGCCCTTTGTGAAAATCCAAAATACCTCATCAAAGAGAGGAGGACAGAAGTATCAGAGCTTGCCCAAGAACAACTAAGTAAAAGCAATTTCTCCAGATGAAAAGAGGAGCCCCTCTATTCTATCTCTGGTCCTGGTCCTCACACTCCAATCTGACCCCAGAATCATAGCCTTGCACACGGAGGTCTCCTCCCTCCATGCAGTTATCGGCAGATCTTCACCGTTACACTTG